TGGATTAAGATCTATCATTTTGTTCTTATAATGAATAATTGTAGCATTTGGGCTTCCCTATAAAAGAACAAGTTTAATAAATATAAATAATTAATCAACTAATTATAATGTTATTATTTAATGAAAGTATACAACTCGACTTGAGGTTATGGAAATTTTAAAGTAGTGTCAGACACTCGAACGATAAAATTAATTTATTTTTAATTTTTATCACTAAGACACTAAAAAATAATCGTCGAATTAAATCTAAAGAGCCACTAATGAAATAAAATTTAAATCAACTTAAATGTAAAGTCATGTGATGTTTGATTTAGAAAAAGATTTCTCATAATCAATTTGGTTTTATGCTGGGCAAGTAGTCTACTATGGAAGCTATACAATGGAAGCTATACATTTATTGAGAGGTTTGATGGAGAAGTACAAGGAGAGTAAGGAGGATCTACATATAATCTTTATTGATTTAAAAAAAACTTATGATAAGATTTCCATGAGAAGTTCCTTGGAGAGTTCTAGAAAAGGTGTTGATATGACTTGTATTCAAGTCATTAAATATATCTATTCTAAAGTTGTTACTTTTGTTCAAACAAAAGGTGGATTAGCCAAGTATTTTTCTATTTTAGTTGGATTACATTAGAGATCGACTATAAGCCCATATCTTTTTGCTTTAATTATTGATGTTCTTACTGGACATTTGCAGGTTGTATCTTGTTGTATGTTTTTCGCTGATGATATCATTCTTGTTGATAAGAATAGAGAGAGTTCAAGAAAGGCTGGAATTTTGGAGGCCTATATTGGATTCTAAAGGACTTTGTTTTAGTAGATCTAAAATAGAATACATGGAATGTAATTTTAGTAGTAGTAGCAGCAGCTCTAGTAGTAGAGTTGTAATTATGGGTGATTAAATCATTAAAAGGTGTCAACGCTTTAGATATCTTGGGTCTATTGTTCAAAGTGATGGTGATATAGATTGGGATGTTATTAGTAGAATTCAGGTTAGTTGGCTGATGTGGAGAAACGCTTTAGGTCTATTGTGTGATAGAAAAGTTCCGCTTAGACTTGAAGGAAACTTTTATAAGATTGTGGTGAGACCTGCATTCTATGGGCCTTTAAAAGAGAAGCATAAAACAAAATTAAGTGTTGCTGAGATGAGAATGCTTAGGCGGATGAGTGACTTGACACTTAGAGACAAAAAACAAAGCAAATCTATTCGTGAAAGGGTTGGTGTAGCTCCAGTGGCCGACAAGATTAGAGAGAATCGTCTTATGGTTTGGTCACATTAAACATCGACCATCTCGTGATTCAATTAGGAGATTAGATGTTTTAGATTCGACTTATGTTAAGAAAAGTAGGGTTAGACCCAAAGGACTTGGGCATGTTCTATAAAAAATGATCTTAATCTATTAGAATTAAATGAAAATATGACTCATTAGGACACAATGAGAAAAAAAGATTCATGTAGCTGACCCCAATTAGTGGGATAAAGGATTATTGTTGTTGTTGTTGTTGTTGTTGTTGTAAAAGTGAAGTTGTGAATAAAATAACTTTTATTAGCTTGATTGCATATTCCATGAACATTTTCTTTTATACTTATTTTATCTCAAATCTTAAATTTGAAATGTTTGTCAAAAATATGATGAGCTATTAACAAGAGAATTAAAACTCGTAACTTAAAAATATATTAACATAACCAAAAATAAAACAGCATGTATTCTAATCAAATAAAATCAATCAGTCTAATAACAACTGACAATTTGTACCTCAATTATGATAATTTGAGAATGTCTAGCATATTCTATCGTATAGTATGATATTTTATCTTATCTATATCCATCATGGTGTGAGCTGTAGCACGTGCGGGTGCTGCTCCAATGTTCGATTAGCTTGAGCTCACGTCAATTTCCTCTTTTACAAGCTACTCTCTCCTCTATCTACGCTGTTGTGTCCTGCATACCTTCACTCATCCTTCCCTCTGTCTTTTTCTTCACCTCATCTATTTGTTCCATCCCATTTGGACACCGTCTTCTTTAATAATTGCTTAATCGCTAGCTTTAATTTAATTGAACTGCCGCTAGCCAGCTCCAATGCCTTTTTTGCTCAAGCCATTAGAAATTGTTAAAAGCCAATGTTTCTCTTTTGTCACTATTTTTTTTTTATATATATATATATATTTTTCATATTTCACGCATTTTTGTATGATAATATAATATAATTACTGTATCATCTGTATCATCCTCATCAACCAACACACAAATAAAAAACCTAATAGAAAGGTGTCATTCACCACTTGGATCACCTGATGAAATGTAAATCTTGTTGAAATACGTACACCCATTGTTATTGCTCAAAGTTCAAAAGGTAGATGTGGTGCTGATGTTTCAAATATAAGTAGGTAATAACAATGGCTTGCATTTGTGAGAATACACTTTATGTTGTGCAAAGAACAGAAGTAGAATTACAATGGAAAGAAAGATTTTATTTTGACGAGGGAAAGATTAAATGATCTAAGTGAGACTCAAACCCAAATGGGGCAACTCACCCATTACATTTGTGGGTTTACTCACCCATTACATTTGTGGGTTTACTAAGAATTTTACTCTCATTTTTTTTAAATCATTTAAATTCTTGCATACATAATCCTTTTATAGTCTCAAAACCTTTTGGCCATTTAAAAAAGGTGCTTGGTGGTTGGGATATTCAATTTAATGAGATTGTTAAGTGATCAAGTGCCTGTTGGAAATTAAAATTAGTATCTAATTTAATCCTTACCATTATCCCTTTCATTAAAGGAACTCAACCCCAAGTTTTATTTTTAGTGAAACGGTTCTCCTAACATCGTTGATTGACGCTGATGGAAATATATATGTACTGATAGAAATTGGGGATATAGATACGACATGTTTTGGACATGCAGCACATCTATAATTGAAAATATGAGGCACAAAGATACTTTTGACATGAAATTATAATTATATATTTTTAAAATAAAAATATTGTGGGATAATTGCATTTAATGAAGATGAAATTTTTTTTAAAATTCCAAAATTGTAAGGATGTAAAAAATCATCATATTTGAGGTTGCAAAAAACTAAATAAAATATTTTCTCAATTTTCATAATTAGTGCCATAAAAAATGAAATAAAAATGCCAATTAATCCAAAATAGAGAGAGGAGGTGACATGTGAGTTGCGGGGTTGTGGCATCTAAGTGTATGAGTGGCGAGCCAGTGTGGGAGTTTGTGTGAAGGAGATGTTTTAGAAGGAAATAAAATTAGGGCATGAGAAGTTTTGAGATTTAAATACTTGAACCTAGTCATTGAAGGGTATAGGTTACACGTCAGACACTCATGTTTGATTTTTTCTTTTTTTCTTTTTTTAATTAAATGGGGATGGCAGATCCTGAGTATGTAGGATGCATGTCGCTTGCATATCATGTCTTGAACATATTGGCCTCTGCCTATTGCTTTGTAATAGAGTATTGATGCCAATTTGATGTTAGTTTAAAAAAAAAAAGCCTTAGAGTTAAAGTAAATATGGAGTGGAATTACTTTATTATAGAGGTAAACTGCATTAAAGAGAGCGATGATTCTCTTGCAACATTTGGAGAATCTTAATCCATTACATTTAGGGAATCTCACCCAAACAAGTGGTCTCTCTCTCATCCTTGAGCTCCTTTAAATTTCTAAGTCTTTTATAGACTGAAAAATGAATTTTTAAACAAAAGGGTATTTAGTGCAAGATAGGTAATGGTTACGAAGTACAATTAAATGAGGATAAGCGGTGGTTTCTGTTGGGAATTATAATTAGTATCCAATCAATAATTCATCATTCTTAATTTTCTATTTCTTTCTATTGAACTATATACTTTGCCGCTTTTAGAATTAATCCCTTGAATTGGATATTACATGTGCAATAGACACTTAGTTTCCTTTTAAAGTTGCATCCTGTCTTGTTCATTTTCCTTGTATAAAACTTCTTGCACGATTATCTTGATCTGCATTTTTCTTTACTTGTCCATGTTTTAGTGAAAGTTCTTCTCCATTTCATGTTTAATTAAGTTCCAAATTATTCATATATGGTATTACTATCTTCTCATATTGGTTCTACAAAATTTTGCCATATTCTCAATCCGTGCATCCTGTTTTCTTCCCACTCGCCTGTACAAAAAGAAACGAAACTGAAGTCGCTGGCACTGCCACAGTGGAAGTCCGTTGCATTGCTTTGGATACAAAGGTGGAACCAGGAATGCAGAAGAAGGCGGAAACTAGTCTTATGCTATCAAGATTCACAATTCTAAAAATACTAAATGTGGAGAATAATTTGTTTTTTTATAGTTGGAAGTAATTGCTACGTTTAATTTTCCAGGTAATGTGGAAAGTAGTTTGAGGTATAGTTCAACTAAAATAAGAAAAGAAGTTAGCAGTTATTGCGATGAAAATGGCAGAAGCCTGAAGCAGGACAATGTCCTGCTCTTGGTTGCAATCAATTATAAAATATGTGATTTGAATTGATGATATTGAATAAACAATATTTTTTATTAACCATTGAGATTTTCAAGGTATAGAGAAATGACATTTCAAAGAAAAATTGTCATAAATAAATTGAAAGTAGAAACCATAACCGGACCTGGAGTATAGAGTTATACAAACTTGCTTTTTTTCTACATTTTAATTACAATTTTTTGTTGTAGGTAAGTTTGTTCTCATGTGTTAGCGGCCTATTTTGCATTTTTACCTGCATATTATCAAATTAGTACATTATCAAAGTAGTCCCATGATTATTTATGTGTGGCCATTTTAGTCCCATAATCTATAAAAGTGTCCATTTAGTCTCTAGACTCTTTAAATTGGGACTGATTCCGTGGAGACTATTCAGCCCATATTAAAAGAATTTGGACTAAATTGACACTTGTATATATAAACTCTGCGACTTAAATAACCCACTACAAAGAGCCAGGAGGCCTTTTTGTCATTTTTTCTCATTATCCTCGTACATCCATTTCAGCTTTCAGTTCATAGGATTTGCCTGAAGACCGTTGCAACGACTCTGCAATCTCTATTGGAATAAAAGGTTGGTTCTTTGATGGTGTCTTTCTATGGAGTATGCCGCCTCAAACTATATATTTTGTTAGTATGGTTTATCTGTTGAAACTTTCGATTGAAAAGCTATAAAATTATAGCTAGGAACAAAAAAATTAGCTCTATTTGGTTTGCTTGGTCACGTTTTAAACCGATTCGTCACCCATGCTTATTGTTAATAAATTCTTGTGTTAGTGTGGAATTTTGTTGGCCTATTTCCTTGGTTGCTCAATCGGGGTTCATAACAATGATTTATTTATTCATACTGCCGAAAATTTATATATTCTGAAAGAAATGGGCAACGGCTTTAGAAGATGATTTTGGCATAAACCCTTTTTGGCTTTTTTTTTTTTTTCAAAGCTTTGTATTATCTTCTTTATACCTTCAATTTCTTTCTATCGTTTGAACATCTCACCGATTTAAATCTACTTTTCGTTGAGTGTAATAGAAATTGTGGTTCTTCTGATTAAATAGAATTAAAATCAGTTCTACATGAAAGATAGAACTGTATCTCAACTAATTCTGACCGGAATCTGGAACTTCAATATTACTGATGTGATGACGGAATCATTACAGATTGTTTTTTAGCATTTAGTGTATTTTAGCATTATTGTATTTAGTGGTTGTTTTTTTATATCAACATTCGCAAGTTTAATTGGTGAAATTTAACTTTTGTGTAGCGTTTGAAAGAACAAAATGTTAATTAAACTCTTGTTAAGGGGCATTGATCATAAAATTGACCATTGGTTTGAGTATTTCTTTCACTCCTTCCTTCTTTGTCTAACCCAATACACAGTACTCAAAAGGAATTTAGAGGGTTCAAAGTGAGATCTAAATTTACTCAAGATTGTTCAAAGTAGAATCCAGGATCTTTTAATTTTGAAACATGGTTGGTATTGTGATGTTAACATAATGATTGGCCAGTTCGGTCTTCTTTCTTTCAGAGAAAGAAGATTGTACACAAAATTATAAGATTTTAGAATGTTGAGTACTTAAATTTTCATTAGAAATGACTGTAATTTTAACATTCTGATGATCTTTTTTTCTCATAAGAGAATAATTAATGTGTTTTATTTAGTTCATTCTTATAAGCAATAATATGTTCATTTCTTTGCTTAAATAAAATATTAGTAGCAACATAAGCATAAGATAAAATAAAATTTAATATGATTTTACATTTAGTAGTAATCGTTCCAAAATCGTAGCTAACATGAATATTTTTAAGATTTTCTACCAATATCAACTTGTTCATTTAATTTACGCTTCAATAAAAATTTATTCTTTTTTTATTCTTTTAGAGGCATCGTTTTTATTAATTCATTTAGGTTTTTTCAAAATTTTTCTTTTAAACTTATATCTAAGCCTACTTCAGGTGCATAAACATTTATAACATTAGAAATCTTAGTATCAATAACAATTTTTAGGGTTTTAATTATATCTTTATCTATAATTACACTACATTTTTTTTATCTATAATTATACTATCAAAGTTTAAAACTTTAATTATCAATCTCCTTAGTCTTTTCTCTAACATATTTAGTTTCTTGAATGCATAAGATATTTAGCTTCATATGAACTATAATATATATTAGTTCTATTAATTTACATGTGAGAGTATATATATTTCAAGCTCTTATAATGTCATTAGTTTCATGGACTAACTTCTTTATCTATATTCTTCTATAATGTGGGAAATCTTATTTATTTAACATAATATGTAGACACCGGTGTAGTGGCTCTTGCACCCTTTTTATTGTATTCGGGTCATGCAACACGTTGATTTTAGGGGATGCCCTAAAATTTATATAATTATTTAAAAGATTCTTGTCATGATTTTTTTTGATAAAAAGTTTATGTTGGATGTCTACTACTAAACACAACCTTTTATTTTCTGCATCTGGGGTTTGTAACTCAACAATGACAGTATTAAATTCTATGTAACTGAATTAAAATATATGCATATATAATAAGTAATGATGAAATTGCTTGTCATTTGGTGTGAGTCTACCAACGACACTTCCAGTTTTTTTCTCATCCACAATCAACGCAAAATAATTCAAATAAGAAAGAAATTTTGAAGAGGTATGCATACAATATTTTTTTATTTTAGTATTTTCAAGCACATTTTTTTATGTCATATCACTCAAATGACAACTTGGAGCCTTTTGTACAAATCTCCTCCAAAGCGTAGACAAAGTGCTTTCCCAATTGAATAATGGTAAACAAAGACTTATGGAGATAAAGGTGAGGAAAGATAATGGACAGTCCACCTCATCTTCCCTTTTACCAACCAAGCTTGTGGAACAGTCCATCCTTTTTTGATATTCTGCCCAAAATGGATCCACCAATTATTGCCCGGAAATGATCATGGGAAAAGGAAGCAACATATGTGGCATTAATGCGACCATCCCTTTAGACAATACACCTATTTACGCATCATCATTTATTATCATGGGTATTTATAGATCTAGATAACTGAACTGACCGTTTATTATAATACTATAGTTGAGATGATATTATGATCATTTATTATATTTTTTTTTATTCTAATGCTTGGGAGGCTTGCACTCACAAGTTAACCATTATTATTACATTTCGATATTTTAGAATATCATCATTGGCAATAGTTTTATTCACAATTCATTTGCATGCCAAATTATCATTATAATTAAGTATGAAGGCTCATTAATGTTCAAGCATCATAAAATTCCTCTATCTTGAACTCTTGGAACACATGTCAAACTAAGGAGTCAAAACTCCCCTCTTCGCAAAAATGATCTGCAATGAGTAGTGTGTGAATTTCCTCAACGGCGAGTCTATTATTGGGAAAACGACAAAAAATTCTAGTATAAGGCACAATTTGTGAGAGACAATTATTTAATAAAGAGATGAATATAAAGGTTTAGTGATATATAATCTTTATCATTGATACATACCAGAAGATCCACAATGGTGGAGTAATAAATTAGCATATCATCGCAGAAAGAGATTTAGCACACACACGATAAAAGAATATTAGCGAGGGAAGGCACCGTGATTTTTATATGAAAAACCTGTAAAAGGAAAAAATCATGTCACTTGGCCTAGATGAAGTAAACTACTATATAATTATAAATACATAACCTATTCTTCTCCTGAATTAAGGAAGATGAAATTAAAAACTTGATGTATAACAATATTTCAATAATAATAATTAGCCACAAAAGCCATAGTAGTTTGCTATGGAGGGAGTAATCCACTATGAATGTTGTGGATGGTAGTTGTAGTGTGAGCTTGTCGTAAAGTCTGTAGTTAAAAGTCATGATAATAGTTGGTCATGTGGGTCGTAGATGGTTGTTTCAAGAGCATCGATGGGCCAAAGAGGTCGTATAAAGGAGCTATGGAGCTGTGAGTCACATATGTCATAGTTGGTCACATATGTCGTAGTGGTGAGCGACAATAACATCCGTAGTCAACATAGGTCGGAGTTGGGAGTTGTATGAGTTGTGGACCGCATAGTATACATTGGTTATATAGGTTATACGAGGGATAATTAATAACAATTGTAGACCACAAAGATTGAAGTTGGGAGGTGCATGAACTATGATGATGTCTATAGGTTGTAGAGGCTGAAGTTGAGAGTTGTATGAGCTGTGAGCTGCATAGGTCATATTTGGTCACATAGGTTGTAGTGTAGAGCATAATAATGTTGTAGGATGCAGAGATCGGAGTTAAGAGCGGCATGAGCTATGGTCCATGTATGTCGTAGTTGATCATGTATGACGTAGTGGTGTGTTGTAATAATGTTCGTAAGTTGTAGTGGCCGGAGTTGGGAGTTGTGAGATTTGTGAGTTACGTAGACCATAGTTGATCACATATACCATAGTAAAGAACAATAATAATGTTTATAGGTCACATGGGTAGAAGTTAGAATATCTGTGAGCTGTGAGCTAAGTAGGTTGTAGTTGGTCACATTGGCTATAACAGGGAGTTTTAATAACATTTGTAGAATGCAGAGGCCAAAGTTAGGAGTTGTGTGAGATACGAATCATGTAGGTCATACTTGAGAGTTATAATAACATTCGCTGGTTGCATAGGCTAAATTTGTGAGCTATAACATTTATACGCCACAGAGGCTGAAGTTGAGAGTTGCATGAGCTGTGAGCCAAGTGGGTCGTAGTTGGTCATACATGACATAATGACGAGTTGTAATAACTTCTACAGGCTATAGAGGCCGAATTTGAGAGTTGCACGAGCTATGAACTACTTAAATCGTAGTCGGTCATATGGACAGTAATGTTAAGCTTCAATAATGTCTGTAGGTCATAGAGGTCGGAGTTAAGAGTTACTTGAGCTATGAACCACACAGGCCGTAGTTGGTTACATAGGTCATAGTGGGGTTTTTAGTGGCATCAATTGTCCTCCAAACCCGTAGTAAGAGGTTGGAGTTGTAGTGAACCACAGAGGTTGTAGGTCATATTGGGGAGCTGTGAGGAAAGAACTTTAAAAGTTCTGAGAAGGCCATTATATTGTGAATACAATTACTCCAAGCAGTTATTATGTGGAGTTGCACCATCTTTGGGATGCATTGTTACACTATCTTCAGAGTGTGTCTTTGTCTGGCATTTGGGGTGCATTATTATGTCGTACTTCGTTACCATGGAAGTTCCACTGATAGAGACAACCAGAGGTGGTCGACAATAGTTGACGGGGTCTGTAGAGCAGTGGTCGATGGTGGTTGGAAGTTGCAAGAGTAGGAAGTGTTCGTTGGGTCTTCGGTCCAGAATAACTCTGAAAATTGACTTCTTCTCTAGTTATTTAGGTCCAGGTCCCCCTCCTTGTTCCCCCTTCATGAAGGGGGTAGAGCTCTACTTATAGAGTCTGAGGGTGGTCTTATCTATAAATAAAAAAAAATTGGACCACTCCATCAGAAGACTTAGAGAAGTTCTTATATCAGATGACATATTGTAGTACCTTAATGATGTCAAAACTAGAACTGAGTGATATTAGGCTCGTTAGATATGCTCATTGGGATGCTCGATTTGACTAAAAGCTTGTTAAATTTGAAATATGTTTGAGCCTTCAATTAGTCACTCGAAGCTTCTAAAAAAAATGTTTTATTGGCTCGATCTGGGCTTTATTTGACTAAAATTAGATCAATTTTGGTGTCATTGTGTTCGTCTATTCAAGCCGATCAATTTGGCCATAAGAGTTGAAATTGGAGTAACAAATGATTTTTAATTTGAGATTGAATATTTCTTGCTAATAAAATATTCTGAAATTTATACTAATCATATTGATATTCGTGCCAAATAACAAAAATTGTTGAGGATATCAATC